TTCTAGGCCTTGTGTGATGCCGGGCACAGTCACTGTTTAAGTAGTTCCTTTCCTGGCCTATGGTAATTTCCTAACACACATGAGCTGATCAGTCATTAGCTAAATAATCACAAGTGTGGTGCCCTTGGGGCTCTGAAAGTTTCTGGAGTTCCCTCTGTGTGCGGCATTTTCTTCTCTGTTAGTTTTCCCCAAGAATTCTACATGCCTTGTTATCCAGAGTCCCTTTGCTTCATCAACTCAATTTAGTGAGACCACTGGTCTCTTCCCCCTACCATGCCATGACCTGGAAACTCAATACGTTGAGAGATTCATAGGACTCACCTCATTTGTTTCCCATCTCTCAGGAATGACTGTCCTTGCTTCTTGCTGCCTGATAATCATGTCTTTCCAGCTGTTGACTTATAGCTCACCACCTTTTCTTCCTTCTCTCTCTCTCTCTCTTTTTTTTTTTTTTTTTTGTTTCAGAGGGTAAATCCATTACCTGTTACTATATCTTGGCCAGAAAAGAAAGTCTAATTTACTTTTCTTCTTCTGTATCTACAAATCTAATCACCAAATACTTATTAACCATCAAATTTACTATCCCATTCTCACTGATCTCCATCATTAGAAATTGTGATTCCCTCTCCACTTTATTGAAACAAACTCCTCCATTAGAGTTTGTGCCATTCTGTGTTGCTTTTTCTCCTAATTCTTATGATATTCATCTATTTTAAAATCCACAAAATGAATACCAAACTCCTTAGCATACAACACTAGATGTATTAGTTTTAATCCAGCATATCTTTTCTTTTACCACAACAATAATTTTCCAATATATAAATGATCATTATTCCACCATGTTCTGAACTTTTGTCTTTTTGTAAATTCATTTGTTCATTCATTTATTCAACATATATTTGTCAAGTTTATATTTTGTGCCAGACAGTATTCTGAATTCTCAAACTATTGCAACTAAAGATAAAGTCACTATGTTTTCCCTATATTGAAATCCTCATTTATTTGCCAAATGGAATCAGTTGTAAGTAATAAATTACCTAGATCCAATAATCAGTAATAGAAAAGAAATCTGATATTTAAACATTGTGTAAGTTCAAGATCTTCCCACTTTGTCATATAGCATATATTTATTTATTTATAATTTGGAGAAAGATACAGGTACAACAGTAATTACACACATCCATTTTTGCAAATAGCAAATGAAATGTAATGAATAAGCATCATTCCTTTTTTTAAAAAAATTTTGATTTGTGTGCAAATTTACAGAGCAAATTCACTTTTCATACAGCAGTTCACATACACTTTGTCTCATGATATTAACTACAATTTAACCCAATGCAACAGTTCCCCTCCTACTTCCTTTCAATAGGTACCACTTCTGTGTCCATTCCTCCATGCACTCCTGCCCCCTGAGTTTTCTCCCTGTGCATAAACAGCCCTTCTTTCTGCCATGATTGTTCTCTCCAAGGAGTGTATCTACCTCAGGTAAATGTTCAACTCATATGCCTGTATTTTATTTGGCTGGAAGCCACAGGTGTGGGTTCAGTTCCAGACCTGAAGGGCAGCTGAGGGCCATAGACTCAGTGGTTCCTTCAAGTTCTATCAGAACAGCAAACCTGGTCCCCTGCCCCTTTTTTCTCAAATGATTTTGAGTTTTGTTCCACATTGTTCTCCCACTCTATCCAGGATCTCCTACGTAGATCCCTCTCCAAGTGGTTGACAGTGGTAGCTGGCACCATCTAGTTCTTCTGGTCTCATAGTCATATAGGCTGTAAATCGCATGGTGTACCAGTCACCAGGACTAATTGTTTCCATGAATCTTTGGTTTTCTTCATTCTTCTTTGCTCTGGACAAGGAGAGACCCATCGTTGCATCTAGATGGCTGCTTGCAAGCTTTTAAGATCCCATTTGCTACTCACCAAAGTAGGAGGTGGAACAATGTTTTGTGCAGTATGTTATGCCAATTGAGTTTGATTTCCCCTGAGACTATGGTCCTGAGCCCACAGGTTTAACTACTTAGTCCCTCTGGGTAGCTAGCTGTGACCAAGAAGTGACTACAACCTTTTCCCTTGTCAGCTCTACTATACACCTGGGAATTCTTACAGATCATACAAATACACCTATAGGACCATTGTCTGCCAACCTTATACATTGTCTTGGGTACTCTCCTCGCTACATAGGAATAAGCATCATTTCTAAGTAATACTTCCAAAGCTTACTACAACCATTAAAGAGATTACATTACTGTTTGAGTACTAACATCCTCCAATTATACATTCTACTCTGACCATGGAAGTCAATATTAGGAGATATGTCTAGTGAAAAAGGGTCTGCTGAGGCTGCATAACATCCCCCAAAGCCATGTCTCTGAAAAGTGATTATCATTGTAGGGTTCCCATCACTTTCCTCAGTTGCCCCGTTCTTTGCTTCTTAAAGTAATAAGGGATATGTTAAAGATGTATCTTAAACATCGTTATTACCATAGACATGGCTCCTTTATACCAACACACAATAAAAACATTTTTGATACCTTATAATCTAGCAATAATTTTCAATATGACATTATTCTACTATAGTTTACACTATCAATTAGCTTCCCCTTTTAGTTTATATATTTTTTACCTTTTTATTAACATGACATTGTTAGTTATTTCCTCAGAAGGAAGATTGGGCAATCTACTTCGGTAGTGACACTGCCTCAGAAACCCAAGGAAGGGTCACTATGAGTTGGATCCTACTTGATGGCAGTGAGTTTTTTGTTGTTGTTGTTATTCTGGTTGGTTATTTCGCTATATTATTGACTTTTATAGGTTGCTATATTGCACTGGGAAAATCTGCTGCAAAAAGTGTTTTTAAAGTGTTAAAGAGTGGACACAGAATTGTAAACATAATATATAAATGACAGAGGCTAATGCGAGTATATCCACAATACTGCATTACCATTAACACCAACACCAGGTTACAGATAAACATATAAACATCTGCAAAGATCAGATGGGGGTCAGTGAACAGGATTATACTCTAGACCAAGGATAGATTCAGCTGAGGCTAATCTTGCACAGATACCAATGATACAAAATACCCACAATCCTTACAGAAACAACAGAAGACAGACATGGAGTGATCCCTCACAGACAGCCAGACACTGTGGGAGAGAGATCCAATGGATCTACGAACTCAGGACCATTGTACTGGTGCACACCAGACTCAATTGGCACAACAAAATACATAAAAAACTTGTTCCTCAACCTACATTAGTGAGTAGTGACTGAGGTCTTAAAAGCTTTCAAGCAACCATCTAAGATGCTGCTAATGATCTCCTATCATCAGAAGCAAAGAAGAGTGCAAAAAATCAAGGGCATTTGGAAGAAATCAGCCCTAGGACATGATTCACCTTGAGACCAGAAGAACTAGATGGTGCCCAGCTACCAAGGCCAAGGATCAAACTGGAGATCTTGGATATAGTGGGAGGAAAAACATGGAACAAAATCCAAAAACTCAATGACTAGAATTACTGGTTGGATTGGGTCTGGTTAGACCCCCAATACTATGGTACTGGGTTACATTCTGGACCTGGAATAAAGTTCACTCCCAAGGGCTGGCTCTCAGCCCAAAAGCAAATAAGACATGCACACAGACTACTCAACCCAGGGTGATGCACCCACATAAAAATGAAATAAAATAAAGTAAAAAACATTGAAGAGTAAGGATGTCACTTTGAAGATTAAGATGCTCCAAACTCAAGCCAAGGTATTTTCAATATTCTCATATGCATGTGAAAGCTGGAAAATGGATAAGAAAGACCACAGAAGAACTGATGCATTTGAATTGTGATATAATCGAAGAATATTGAATATACTACAGATTGCTAGAAGAACAAACAAATCTGTCCTGGAAGAAGTACCCTCAGAATGATACTTAGAAATGAGAATGGCCAGACCTCTCACATGCTTTGCTCATGTTGTCAGAAGGGGCCAGTCCCTGGAGAAGGCTATCATACTGGATAAAGTGAAGTGTCAGCGAAAAAATGGAAGAACTTCAATGAGATGGATTGACACAGTGGCTTCAGTGATGGGCTCAAGTATAGCAACATTTGTGAGTATGTCACAGGATTTTCTTTTGTACATAGGGTCGCTTGAGTCAAAACTGACTCGATGGCACCTAACAACAACAGATGTCACTTCTTTCTTTGACATTTTTGAGATATTTGTATATAATTATGTTTCCACTTAGACATCTGCCTTGCCAATCTTTCCAAATTTAGTCTCCCTTATTTAGTATTTCTTCAAAAATCATTCCAAGCCTGCATCATTTTTGTTCATCTTCTCTAAGCTTCAATTTCATCTAATTTTGCCCCTAATTTTCACAATGGGAACATGCAAAATTTGTTCTTGCTGAAATATCAAGAAAGCTCTTATTGTATATTGCTTGAATAATCAAATGAAAAGAATATGCCTGTGAAAATGTAGATTTATATCTGCACTTGCAAAAGGAAACATAACCAATATGCTGTGTTGTGGAAAGCACAACTTTATAAAAGAAAAAATCAGCCACTATTACATTGTAAGTGTAATGCAGTAATCAACAGATCAAAACTTTCATAAATTTTAGGCATTAAAGTGTTAAAAGATGAAACTCAGCCTTTAGCTATCATAAGAGTCAGAAATTATTCCTGTAGTAATGCAATATTTTGTATAGGTAAAAATACCAAATGACACTTTAATTTCTGATTTCTCAAAAGAGAAACATATCTATTCACATATATCCTTTAAGAATGAAACATGTTACTTTGCCTATATTTGGCTAGATCAGATTTTCAGTATGTCTCATCATATTAAAACATGTAATATGTTTCTCATGGTCTCCCCTCTTTCAACATTCTCCCCTCCACATTGATATGGGATACCCTTCCTTTTTATTCTAAATAACAGCTTTATTGAAATATAATTTACATACTATACAACTAACCCATTTAAAATAATAATTCACTGGCTTTTAATGTATTCAAACAGTTGTTCAGCCATCATCTCAGTCAATTCTAGATCGTTGTCATCACCCCAAAAAGAAGCACTGTATCGATTAGTGATCACTCCTTATTTTTCCCCAACCCTCTCAACCCTTGGCAAACAGTTATCTACATTCTGTCTCTGTAAACTGGACTTTTCTGGACGTTTCATATAACTGTAATCCTAGAACATTTTCTCTTTTGTGACTGGGTTTTTTTTTTTTTTT